TAAGTCTTTTCACACTTAGTTACCGTAGTCACAGGGGAGACCTCATCACAGTCTATAAGATCTTAAACAACCACGCCCACCCTAATAAAAGCATCCTGCCATTAAGTGATTATAGGCTTCCACGAGGTAACCCGCTAAGGATAGCACACCAGAGACCAAAGACTCGAGTGCGTTCACATTTCTTCTCGCTTCGAGTTTGCCGTCTCTGGAACGCTTTACCGGCGGCCGTAACTACAGCGCCATCTGTGGAGACTTTTAAGCGGAAGCTGGACAATCATGCAGAAATGCATGGTTTGTGTCTCAATGGCTTACCCTCTTAAAATTTGAAACCACATTGTCAATGGATAAGCATACAAGCTAAATCCCCACAACTCGTTCTGTCTTCTCCCACTGTACCGACTAGTCTATCTTTTCCTTAGGTTACCTTTATTATTTCACTTATCTCAACCTATATTATCTACACTACAACCTATTATTATTATTACTATTCTGCTTTTATGACTACACCGAATGACCAACGGGTATTAGGTCAAACTCCATTCACGGTAGCAGCTGAGTCCTAACATACTGCAAACTACAAACCACAATCTTGACCAATCCTCGTACCACTCCTCTTGGAGTCTACCAGAGCTAAAGCAGTCGAGTGGCGGGATTTACTACGCATAAGTTCACCAAAGACCTGGAACCTCTACCTTACAATCAAGAAGCGAGCTCAAAGAAATCACTGGTTTATACTAGCTCGTAATCAGGATATTGGATATTGGAACATTTGAATTCGTCGGCCTTGGGCGCTTGTTGCTTTTCACCTTAATGCGGATCGCTCAGAAATGTTGAGGTGTGGTTTTATTTGTCAGACATTATTTTGATAGTAAGCTATTTGCTGGTACTTTGGGTTTATGGTGAAGGTCGGATTGATCAGCAGATTAGGTTGGCTAGAATAATGTCGGGAAGTGAATTTCCCTGTGACGTAATCACCAGTTAGAATTCAACCACTTAATACTGTTGAGCTATGGCTTTTCAGAAGTAATAATGCACTCTCTTTCATTCCTTCCTTTTATTTTTGTTATATTTAAACACAGACTGATTTAACGCCCTTTCCCAAGTTTACTATAATGCTGAATTAAATCTCACTAATTCTGAAATAATTCTAACATTCTATAGTGAGTAAATTCTGAATCTGTTCTGAAATGGATTCTTTCATGGCACAGACTAGAACTCAGTGCTTGTTTCCAGCATGACTGGCACTAAATTTGCAGCGTGTTCCTTTTTCTAGGCATTTTCAGGAGTAGATCAGAACCTACTGGGTTTGCTTATCAGCGTTGTTCCAGCCCCGGCAGGACATATTAAGCACAGACTTGCGTTAATTAAGAACGAAAAGGCTTAAATAAGCACCAAGCTCTCTTTTTAAGCACAAGCAGCTTGATTTCAGAACATAGTGGGTAGATAAAATCTTCATTTACCATAAAAGGCATTATCAAAGACTAGGTTAGAATAAGTTTAGAATTGTTGTAAGCTTGGGTTATAGTATACAATACGCAAATAAGTAATTTGAGGCGGTTTGTTATTTATTGATACATTTCCCCGGGATTTTATACATCGAGTCACCCTAAAATTTTTTATTTGGATATCGTGATAAGAAGTGTTCCGAACCGAGTAGAAAACAACACGTGGTTAAGGTGTTACATGAGAGGCCAATTGTTAAAGCACCGGGAACCGATGCGGATATGAAGTTGCTCCACGTTTTCGTCACTTGAGTGGATAGCTTTCATTGTTCTACCCCGTGCTTTTCACGTTCTGAAGAAATCCTACAAGTGTAAAAGACTAGCATGAAACGGTAAGACTTTTCCAGTCGTTCAATATGGCGACCATGGAGCCTTTGACGTATAAGAAGTAGCCTTGTAACGCTGAATGTATAACTGTATATTTTGAACTTGCACGGGCAAGTAAAGCCCTCAATATGAGTTGGTGTAATTTGCAGCCACACTTCAGTGCAGACTTAAGTGAGAGTTCAATGACAGTACAACAAATGTAGGTGTGCCGAATGTAATTCACGCCACTTGAAAGAATTTTTCACCAAAAATCGTTAGCGCTTGGTTCCCGAGGTCCCCAGCTAGTTACTTCACCCCTCAGTATGTGGCTCAAATAATTCACTCCTAACTCCTCTGCGAATTAATCCTGTACCTGCAAAATCTTTAAAGTAAGTTAATTACCTAAAGCGCATCATTTAGGTAGTTCCAAATATTAGTCTTTTTACCTTCTGTTAGCCAGTGGTGTTTGAATCAATTTTCACTGCCGTCTTATCTTGAAAGTTTGTAAAGCGGATGTAAGTTCAACTCTGTTTACAGTAGTATCCCATAATCTCGTCAAGGAAACTGTACAATCCAAAAATAGTGGTCTATCTGAATAGTTGGAATTCCCTTGTTTTATTATCCCTAATATCTGCTAATATTTTTAAATATGTTGACGTGATTGTCTTTCAACTGTTATGTTGTCAGTCTGTCTAGTACTCGATATACGAATAAGGTCGCAAACACTGCATCATTTTGAGGTATCTGTATCATGGAATCTGTTCTTCGCAAGGAATCATGACTTTAACTTTCTTACAATATTTATGTAAAATACTGTAGGGTGATCAGAAGGAAACTATTGGTGTTAAGATCCACATGTAATGTATTTACTTTATTTTAATTGTGCATCGATAGTGGGATGCTCGCCAGCCACGCGGGCGGTATGGGTTCGATTCCTGACCGATACACTGCTAAACCTTGCTTAGTTTGCTAACTTTTAGTAAGTCCGGGGAAGTGGGAAGGTTTGGTGTGAGGCTGGGAACTCCACCCCGTAAAAACATTATCTTAACTCCCAGGATTTCTAAAGCCCTATGTCCTACTAGAGATGCTAAAGAATGATAAAGACCCATCTTCCCTACACCTTCATGCAACAGATATAGTAGACTATATGAGGTAGAATTTTCCACATTATTTATAGAATGTCAAACATTGGAACAGCATTACGGACGTTTGTAATACAGTATTATTCATATATGTGTAACTGCATAAATTTGGAACTCAATTTTTAGTTCTCGTTCTTCATGGTTACAATTGGTGTGATCATGGACAGCATATTGTATTTAAAATGTTGTTCAGTAAATGGTCGTTTTTCAATATGGGGTATATCCGATAAACTAAATGAGGAATTCCATGCCACCACATTATCCAGGTTTCACATATTAAGGCATAAAAAATAGTCAACGCATTCAAGCATTTTACTGTCTGCCTTTAATGTAGAACTTAGTGCAGATCAGGCTTGGGGATTATTAGAGTTTCAAAATTATGGAACTCAAACGATACGCATTCAAGTTCTTACCCAAGGTTTTCAATGTCTTTCGTTTGCTTAAACCTTTGTCTAACAAGGGAATTTAGACCATTGGGAATCTGATCCAAATAACTACTAAAGGTCATTTGTGTTCTAGTAAACGTCCTTATTCAACTTTAAAAATTAAATTCGTACTCCTTTCACATTCAGATATTTGTTTTCGGACATCAAAGTAGAATACCACTCTCAGGTGTAGCGTTAAAAGTAGGGTGTGTGTTCTGTAGCTTGGTAAAGAATGATAATTCAGTCACGTCTCATTCTAAAACCAACCATCAGTTTCCTTAGCGTTGGCTTAATGTTTATCTAAAGCGCAGCTGTAAGCGGACTTCCATATTCTTAGATGTTACAGTTCTGCCGACAGAGGGAGTTGTCTATCCTAAGTGTCCTCAGTGATCTCCATATAGTCTCGATAGATGTTTCTCCAAAATGTCCCTTTTAGTAAAGCTAAATAAACTAATTATTGCACTCACATTCGCTTCCATCACTCACTATTTCTCGTGATCACTGCAAATATTTCAAGTCGGCTCACCACTAACTTACTAACAAACTGAGATGATTTTTGTTGTATCAAAAGTTTCTGAATAACAGAAAGATTGAGCCAAGAAATATTTACTATATATTTATTATATATAAATATATATATATATATATATTGAATGCGTATATATATATATTTATATATAGTCTTTTTATTACAATACACAACAGTTTACCAATCAAGTGGCGATATGTTTGTTAACAATAATTAGTCAGTGTCAAAATGTCAGTGGGTTGATAATAAACGAAGAAAATCAATACACATTTAAAGGGTAGAAATGGTTAGAATAAATTAATTTTACAAGGATAACACGTAATTAAAGATGAAATGTTCAGAAAAATAAAATAATTTGGACAACTATAATTTTTATAATTTTAAAGGTTTAGGGGGAGCGGCGGGAAATAGTCCGGTTTATACAGTCATGTAACGATGGCCAAGGCAAGGAAAGTGGCTGTACAAATTTCTTCTGAACACACAGGTTTGGCTTCTTCAGGTGCAGCTGTTGACTATCTTTTGTTAAAATTTAGTTGTTTTTATAACACAGCATTTTCATATGCAGATTCAGTTTTTGTTTAAATCCAAACACAAAAAGTTTTTAATGTTGTATACCTTGGACCCATTCTAATGCAGATAAACAAGTAGATTTCCAGGACGTATTTGCTAGATTATCTAGCGATTTAATGTTTACTTCCACTATTATCCCGTTATTAGCAGTCATTTAATAGGAATTTCTGCAGTTTAAAGTTATTGGTAATCAGTAATGAATGGCCCCCGTCGTCATTTCATCTGTAAGAGATTCTAGGTAACTGCTGGTATGGGGAATCTTAACTGTTTTGGATTAGGAGGAGGGTGAATTATAGTCAAAATTTTTAGGGTAATCTTCATTATCTTTTTGTTTCACTTACAGAGTTTAGTATAAATTTTCTGGTATATATGCGATCTAAAACTTAGTGAACTTTTTCATTTATACTTATATTTATAAATCTTGAACCGCCAAGCATTTACTCCTTTTAATACTGCATTATTTTTGACAGTGATATAGTTCATTTGCACAGAGTGAGAAATTCTTGGTCCTTGCTAACAGCTTGAAATGAGAACTCTGGATGTATCGATGAGACCAGCTGTTGAACCACTTATCCCACCGGAATTGGCTGGATTTGTTTGTGGAGGTATCTCAGGAACAGTTTCTCGAACAGTCACTGCGCCTATGGATCGTCTAAAAGTCTTGAGGCAGACTGAAGTCGCAGAAGTGGTGGGTAAAAATATGATTCAAGGTAAACGATTAACGTCTTCGATCGCTTTCATTTCTTCATCATATATAGTATATTTCTTAAGCACTACCATTGGAATTTGTTTCTGTTGCGTTAATTGTGTGCAGAACTTACTGGCGGTGTCGTATAAAGCGATACGAGAAAAACAATTACATGTCTCCTGCGAATAGGTTACGGCGATATCGTGTTATCCAGACAAGCTCCATTGTCCTGGTTTTAAGTAGTCAACTCGTTTAATCGGCACACGGTAGAGGAGTACTACACACTTGGTTACTTCGTTTTATTGTTTAGAAAAAGTCGAGAGAAGTTAGTCAAACTGAGTGGTTATTAAATCTTCGTCCTAAGCCTGTGAAGATTTGCGGGTAATTTGCTTAACTGCTACATGATCCTGGAAACCAGTTGCCTCTGTTGTTGAGCTAAATATAACTTCAGGTTAAGAAGTTTTATCTTTTCGTGATTTGGTTTGTAGTCTCCTTTTTGTCGACTAGATTACAACCGTATATTGTTCACTGTTGGATGATAAACTGTATGCCATTAAAAGCCAACAACTTTAAACTTTGCTTGTAGCTTGACTGATTGAATTTCAACCTAGGACCTTGCACAGAAGCACAACAGTTCAAGTTTCCGCACTCCATATAGCACACCAAGGTAGTAAAAAAGGAAAGATTCCAAAAATTATAATTAGGAGAGAACGAATAATTACATGCAGAAACATGAGGACTTATTGAATCTGAGAGAACACAAATATTGAATGTATCTGTTCATTTGAGAATGAATTTTAGTCATATCATTAACATTCTCAAGCCATTAGTTCTCACCATCTTGAGGACCACAATCAGACAGTCATCACTTCCCTACGTGTTTCGAACCTACAGTCAGACTTCGTGAACTGATGCCATTTTTTAGTCTGACCACCCCTAAAGTTTTTCAAACTTAATTCTAATAAGAACAAATTAGTTCAGCGAAGAGTCTCTTTTCGGCGAATTCATTCACTTAGCTGTACAGTCGCAAATATATATACAATTATTTTGTGTGTGTGTGTGTACATTAGGTTTGTCAAAAACAAAATAACAGTTAGTGTGGGTTGTTGATTATATCATCAAGATAATGAAGAAGTTAAAATGTGTGATTAATACTCAAAGTTGTAACTAAGTGGGGTGAAGATTGGTAAGATGTGAGTAGAGTTACATCATCAAAATAATGAAGAAGTTAAAATGTGTCATTAATACTCAAAGTTGTAACTAAGTGGGGTGAAGATTGGTAAGATGTGAGTAGGGTTACGTAATATGGACATGTTTAGAAAGATTAGATGCTAGTGAAGGAGGGTTTAATTCCAAGTTTATTTGTATTCAACATTTTGTTATCAAATTTTTTGCAATTTTCGTATAACAATTTTTAGTAACTAACCCATTCAATCTTTTCACCTATTATCTATCTAGTTTATTTTCATAATTGTCTCCAAACTCCTTCACTAGCATCTAATCTTTCTAAACATGTCCATATTACGTAACCCTACTCACATCTTACCAATCTTCACCCCACTTAGTTACAACTTTGAGTATTAATGACACATTTTAACTTCTTCATTATTTTGATGATGTAACTCTACTCACATCTTACCAATCTTCACCCCACTTAGTTACAACTTTGAGTATTAATGACACATTTTAACTTCTTCATTATTTTGATGATGTAACTCTACTCACATCTTACCAATCTTCACCCCACTTAGTTACAACTTTGAGTATTAATCACACATTTTAACTTCTTCATTATCTTGATGATATAATCAACAACCCACACTAACTGTTATTTTGTTTTTGACAAACCTAATGTACACACACACACACACACAAAATAATTGTATATATATTTGCGACTGTACAGCTAAGTGAATGAATTCGCCGAAAAGAGACTCTTCGCTGAACTAATTTGTTCTTATTTCAATGTCTTAATGGGTATATTTCGCGAATTAATTCTAATACTTATAGTGTCTGGGAATTCAGTGGCTTTAGTTTTTATGAATTGGTAGTCTGTTGATTATTGCTTTTTGATGTGTAGAAAGTGAGACGATTTTATGTGGAAATAGCAAACATTTCTCCTAGGTGAGGGAGGTGATTTTCATAATCTCTGAAGTTTTAGGTATTTACTTACAAATCTTGTTGGTCAATGAAATGAGAATTTTCGGTGTTCGTATCTCATTATTTGGTTGCAATATCATGGGTCTATTGATCGATTGCATTAGTTTTATCATGTGAAATCACTGACTTTCGTGTTAGCTCACTCTGATTGTGTTACTTTATCACTTAACATATATTAGTGATTATTTACGAAGGGTGAATTAGTTATGCACATATAATTCATAAAAAGCTGTATTTGGCATAAGTTGTAGAAATAAACTTCTTTAGCATATCATTTTGGTACTTTTTGCTTAGTTGAAGTTCAAAATACAATACCCCTAAATTAATGTGCTCTATTAATTGGGACTTTACAGAATGCGTTGTAAGCAATTATCTTTTTGTATATGTTAAGTCGAGAACAATCGGTGTATATTCTGGGTAACTGAATCAATAATAAAATTGATAAAATGCCTATATTTTCTGTGGTATGAAAATTCAGCAGGTGAAGTAACATGTGTCAACAAAAATAGTCTTCTGTTGAAATATTTTTATTGCAGTCAGTTAATTTTTTTTTCAGTAATGAACTGAATCACTGATATAAGTAGCTATATTACATGGTATCTGTTACTGATTCATTGTTTCTTATTTGATTCATCTGTAGCCTATGCTTGGTTGTATCATCTCAGTCGTATGCCTCACACCGTGAAATGCTAGCAGAGGGAAGAAAAGAAATTGGTACTATTTTAATTCGGTGGTCATGTAAATCGTAGGGACTGAAGTACACCATTAGAGGTGAAATAGGTCCATAAAACTAGACTCTGGCAAGCTCATACCATCAGAAAAGTATGAAAAGGGTATACATGCCAGTACCAGACAACTTTGAAACTAGATACACTGGCACAAAAAAGCCGAGTCTAAAATACTGCAAGAATAGATAGTGGCACTAAAGTTGGAGCGGCTGCAAGCATGGCATTTCGATAAAGAGGGAGATGTGTTATAAGCGTCTGGTAAGAACGCGTCGGTTATATTCAGTATGGTTAATTTGACAAAAGTTGTAAGCAGATAAGCGGTTGGTGAAATTTCCGAAATAAGAAATAGGCGAGTTCGGTTGTCCAAATAGGAAGCATAGTGTAAAGAGGAAGAAGTCGAGGGGAAACGCAGTGGAGAAGAAAATAAAAAACTGATTTCAAATGTACTGTTTTTATATTTTACCTCTACTATAAACTATTTCACTAATGAACAGTTCACTAGTTCCCACTGTTTTTCCAACAATAGCGTCAGCATACTTCTTGATGACTTTACTTGGTTATAAATAATAAACACTTTTTGACTCAATTTTCGTAAAAGTTACGCAACTTTTATATTGTTATCTCCAATTTATTGAATTATTAGGTTTCCATGCAATGGTTAAAGAAGGTGGTATATTGGCTTTGTGGCGTGGCAATGGCGTAAATATTTTAAAAAATTGCCCTGAAAGTGCCATTCGCTTTGGTCTACATGGATGGCTTAAGTCTGTAATTTTCCCAAATGTGAAAGGACCATTACCTCCAGAGGATCGTTTGTTGGTGGCTAGTTTGGCTGGCGCTTCATCGCTAACAATAACTTATCCAATTGAGGTGAGTCGACTGCAATTAACAGAAATAAAATCTGTTTTCACCGTAATCATATATTATCTTGAATATCTGTAAAGTGTATTAAGTGTTGATATGATCAACGTCTGCCTAATGCAAAGCTGAGTATTTCGGTGTGAGACTATTCTCGTAGTCTTGTTAAGTTGAAAAAATAAAGTCAGAGAAGAAAATGACTTAGGCAATAACTATTGATCTGACGACAGTAGACAAATTCACATCATGTAATGCAACAACAGGATCTTTATTGACTCAAGAAATTGCCTTACAAACACTTACTATGCCAGAAACGTGGGTAAAACTATAAGTAGTCCCAGTCATAGTGCGGGATAATAATGATAATCACTTCATTCCAAACAATAATACTTGCACCACTAAGGACTGGAACGTGAAGTCATATTGTTAGGGTGTAAGTACTGAAACAACAGTAGTAAATAAGCTTCCATCCAGTGATTAGACTCTTTACTACTCTAGCAAGAGGTATTGAAAATAGTCTACCTCATGAAGTGTACATCGTAATTTTGCCCATGATGACGTGTAGTCGATGGTGAAGCTTTCTTTACCAACGACAGATAGTGAACCGAATCTAACTACATCAGTTGGATATCTCCTGCGCTCTGTGGTCACGCTATACCAATTCGCCTAACATTTTGAGTAATTCAAGAAATCGCCTATACAACGAGTAACTGAAAAGAATCAACGGTTCACAAATCCTGTCTGTTCATCAATGACTAAGGATAGATACATACAGTCTTAATGTTAGACACCCATTCCGAAGATAGTAAAGGCCAGTGTGTGCTAGACTCCTAGGTGGTCCTAAGCCCAAAATGAGAAACAGATTGTGTGTTGGGCTGGTAACCCTACCCTGTGAATCCAAAAAACCTCAACAGGAACTTCATAGGACAAAAATTTAGAAAGTTAACTTATAATTCACTGAAATTATAGAAGCGGAATGACACCGATGAGAGCCTTCATGAAAGCGTACAACCAGTTTTTCTTCTCTAAATGAACACACAAGTAACCATAGTCATATAGAATGTCTCCACGATGTTTGAGGCAGTGTTTGCAAAAGAAACAAGATGATATAGTATAGGAGTACTGGGAGTATGTGAGAGTGTGGTGAGAGCTGTCTACTAGCCAAATTGGTAGACAGTAATTTACGTCAATATTTACGTTCCCAAGATTTGTCGTGAGAAAATGTGAACAAAGATTGATTCAAAACCGACCACAACAGACTTTGCGTAGGCGGATGCAGCTAACATATAGAGGATTTGACATTCAAGAAACAATCACAAATAGATGAAAGATTAACTTTACGTGAGAAACAACCAATCGGAAGACTGTGTTTGTTTGCTTAAATATCCATAGTAATGTACATGAAAATATATATAAATATGCGTTGATTTCCTTAATAAATGATCTGTTGCCTGACTCTTGCCTTTGTCGTTACAAGAGCAGTTGGAATGGAAGTGAATAATTCAAATTTCGAAATAGAGAATCAATAGTCTACTCTGGTCTTCCAGACGACAATTGTAAGCCCACTGTGTGGGTATGGCCACCATGATGTTACGAATATCATCGAAGGGGCTCATTCAGTAAGTAGCAATCCCTCACAGGATAATGACAACAAGACTCAACTCGAAAAGATAGAAAGTTGCGATCACAATACTACGCACCTACAAACAACGCAGACCGGGCCAAGGAAAGATGGAAGACTTGCAGAGACAATTGCAATCAGTAATCGAAAAAACGCCTGATAGTGACGTCAAACTCTAATGGGTGATATGAATGTCACTCAAAGGGGAAACAGACAAGACAGGAAGAGGACTCATTATGTGTGAAGTGATACTAGGTGAAATGAATGAGGAAGTATGATAATTTTCAGGTTTCTGCGAGTTTCGTGATTTGGTGATTGGAGGCAGCGTGTACAAGCACATGGATATACATAAGGCGATGTGGGTCCCTCCAGGTGGACAAATCGGAAATTGGATAGACTTCACCTGATTTTCTGGAAATTGGAGACAGCCTAGTGTACACAAAATCGAGAAGAGACGGAGATGTAGATTCAAATCACTATATAGTGCAGGGAAGCCTCAAGATGAAAGCGAAGGCCTTTGAAGAAACTGTAGATGAACTAGAATTCAAGCTGAACATTTAGTAGGTGAAGGATGAAGCTACAAAGGAAACCTTCACTGCAGTCATCGAGAAAATGTCGGAGATACTAAACAGCATGACCGAGACAACCTGTGTGGAAGGACATGGGGACTTTCTGGAAGCGATATGGAATGAAAGCTGTATAGTTGTTCAAAGAAGGAACCAGAAGGAAAGTTAAAAATAGTTTTCTACGAATACATGTAAGCTGAGGCAGGCAATGAGCTAGTACAGAGATGAAGATCGAAAGGAGGTGGCTATGATCTACACAGCACTAAACAAAGTGATGAAGAAGGATGCACAAAGAGACAAACGACACTTTTATGATGCACTGTCAATTAAACCGGAATAGGTTACCAGGTCCCTATCGAGGAAGAGATCAACGCATATGAGACTTGTGAGAGGTAGTGTATGTGCCACCTGCTGCAACTCGTCTAGAAATACCACCACCAGACATAGAACTATCCGTGAACATCCGCTCTCCGACAAAATGAGAAGTCTCTTAGGCTATAAAGTCACTGGAATCCAGACGAGGAAGTGGTAGAACCAGTTGGAATTTCATCACCACATCTGTCTGTATTAATTGACGTAATACTTCCCACCATAGTGATATGCTTGAAGATTAAAAAGCGTTGTATCACGTGGAATCTGCTATATAAATCTTAATGAAGTCAGTGAATGTCTGTCATACCGAAGTTAGTGAAAGCTAGTGGGTTTGTGTTTCCTCAGTCAGATTGATCAAGGTTTATGTGTAAGCGTAGAAGGAAGTGTGCGTAACTACTGGGAATACTTGTGATTTGTGTGCGTAAAATAAATGGAATAGGTATTAGGACTCCTTAGTGTGTCTCGATTGTTCGTACCTGTTGTTGGTGGTTGAGGGACACGTTTAGAAGGACTACATTAAGGGAAGCGTGATCTCTAGGGAAAATGGGTTTCAAAAATCTTCATCCACTGGCTTAAATGGGTGTGAACATTGTTTGTCCATCTACACTTGGAGTTTTGACAGCAGTTTGCAGTGTAGATGTTGAAGCAGTAGCACATGATTTTTTAGTTGTATAACTTTTTTGGTAAGGTTTGAAAGGGTTGTTGCTTAGATTACCTAAGATACAAGTCGTTGTTTGGCTGTGCGATATAGTTCCACTGGACCGATGTTTGTCGTTGATCAACTCGGTCTGCTAGGAGTGAAGCATATCTTTTCGTGGTGTCGGTAGCACAGCGGTTAGGACTCTCGCCGATCATGCACATGGTCCGGGATTCGATCCCCTGCCAACGCACACCTGATATCTATGGTCAGCCTGCAAAATGTGGGCTACCGTTATCACTTGCTGAAAGTTCCATACTTGTTCCAAAAATACTGTGTGGTATCAAGCTATAATGAAAAAATTAAAATTAGTTTGATTGCTTCGGTATCAAAAATCCTTAGTTTCATATTAGTGCGAAGACTAATTAAGGCTTACTGAGGGAAATATACTCGAAAAGCCAAGTTAGTTTGAGGATTTTATGAAACGCTGATATAAATACTTGCCATATTTATGATCTGAAGGCGTTATTCGACGTCGTTGGTGGAGCAGTATTTGGTAACGCTTTGAAGCATGAGTAGTCGCACAAAATGTTATTCTAAGTAAGGTACTGTACTAGATAGGAGGTGTGCTGTTGTTTTTGGTTACGGTGATTTGTCATCTGAAGGGTTGATTGATCCACAATACACTTATGTTTATGTTTGATGAAGAGGTTATCAAAGCAGAGGCTTGTGAATACCATTATGGGAAATTTTAGCATGTTTGGCATGAACTTTTCCCCTGTTACCGACCTATTCTCAAACTGACACTAAGGTAGCCATTTACATTGTAGCGATAAGAAATGCATTCTCAAGATTATGGGATTGCCATTTGTTGTTCAAAAGTTTGGGATTCTTGTTAGCACCATTTTCCGATTGGACACTGTCGTTTGCATACCTAGTCAATTGGTGTAATAGCAACGCGCAAGTCAGTCTTTGTAGGATCAGATGTTAAAGTAAAGCTCTGTAAAGTGATATCCGTGAAAAGCTTGAATAAAAGTGAGTAGAGTGGACTGTGTTGAGGTGCATCACTGGAAGTATATACCTCATGCAACGACATATTACAGTTTTGCACGTGATCACTAATATTCGAGTTTGTAACTATGAGTAAAACGATGCGCTTTCCAGCCATACATTTCAGCAAATGATACCACTACGTAACCTTTCGATCGACGAGGGTGAATGCTGCGGTAAGAAGTGCAGTCGATGTTGATTTTTGGTTGGTGTTGCTGCTTTAGAATATTTGACGTTTGGAGAGTATGTTGTGAATGCACGGTGATCATCTCCGAATGGAGCCTGGTTTCATATTGAATATGTGTTGTTAAACCTTATATGATTGTGGGCTAAAATTTCTGAAGTTATGAAGATAGGGCTAAATCCTCGGTGCTTTTCACAAGAGGATTTTCATCTTAGCTTGAAGATTGGTACAGTAATAGCATAGGGGTAAATGTGACTGTGGAATTGCATACACACAGATTTAGCAACTCTGACAATATACTTTACTAACTACATAGCGTTATTTACCACTTTCTTTTTCTTCATGTCTGTGGTTATTACTACGATTTGCAAACAGGCAGGTATTTGAAAGAAGCTTCTTTAATATGTGGAATGGAAACAGCTGAGTTTATTACTACTAAACGAAAGTGAAAGTACACTGACTGCTGCCTCAAACAGATGACCGTTTGACAACATTTTACATGAAAAGGGTTCTTTGTCATCGATCACTTTGTTGAGTCTGTTACTTTTATTAAAATAATATGTAGCTTGTTCATTATTCTTTTTATTTCTCTATAACACAGGCATCACCGGATACGAGTTAGAATATATATTGCTTTTATACAATTATGATTTGATTTCTGATAGAGCTATAGTTGTTTAGCGTCATTCATTATTTCGATTGCCGTAGAACCTTACGCGAATCTAAAGTTTACAAAATTAGTTCCACTTTGTTGGAAGCGTAGAAAATTAGCTTCATACTGGAAATATCGCGTTGTTATTGTTTTTATTGTGTCCATAGTTTGTCCCGGTTATGAGTAGAAGCCTTTACAGTAACTGGCGCGTAATTATGTTCCTGTCCACCCAATCAAAATAATAAGACCGTTCATCATGTAGAGAATGAAAGATGCCCTGGGTGGAAGACTTCTCCCGGAGCAAGTTAGAATCAAGGAAAATAATTCACTAGTGGACCGAATTGCAACACTGCGTCATCGTCGAAGACAGTTTATGTTGGTTGTCAGAGTCATCTAGGAGCGGATCGCGGAAGCAAGACAGGTGTACATTACTCTGGAATCGGTGTGGAAATCGATTGCACTTAGTAAAAGGAACAAGATCCGAACTTTCAACACTACTGTCAAGTTAGTGCTTCTATGTAGTTAAAAGACTGATGCGTCTCGAAAAGCATTTCCGACAGACTAGATTTTTATCAACAGCTACTTTCGCTGTCTCATTGCTAAAGATCAAGTCTTCAGAAGGCATAAAAAACGTGGATCTCTTGTAACGAACCACCAATAAACCTATTGCCCAACAAATATTCAGGAGAAAATAGGGGTGAATTGGACACAGTGGGTTGACCGTTCAGTGACATCATGCGCGCCAGCCCTTCGAGTGGAACCAAAATGCGAGGCGAGGAGTTGGGCGTCCCAGTTTGACATAGATGAGATCGTGTGAGGAAGAAATGAAAGCTTATATGCAGTTGCAGAGCCATCTAAAAATGATGGCAAATAACAGAATCAAATTGAGGTGTGCCATTAAAGCCTTGTGTTCCATTTGGAATCCAAGGGAATAAAGATAATAGTAATCATAATAGGAGTAGTGTAAATCAATTTTAACTATCGCTGTTTATATTTTAAGATTGTTTAAACCATTTAAGTGAGATTTCCGCCTTGTTTTAGATTTTAAAAACTCGAATGGCTTTGCGTAGGTCGCATGAATCAAATTCTATGTTTGTTACAATTCGAAAATTATATCATGAAGGTGGTTTACGTGGGTTTTATCGAGGCTACAAAGTCAGTATGATGAGCTATGTACCGTATTCTGGAATGGAGTTGTGTCTTTATGAAGTTAGTTTTTATGCTTACAATTTTGTGAACTTTTATTCAACTCTTGTTTTTAAAACTGTTGAGGTCTTTAACAGTGTATCTTCAATTTATTCTCCTGGCTTATAGTGTCTTCTTATGTAATATTCCCTAAAACAACATTTTGTCTATTTCGTATTATAACTATTGTTGTATGGACCTCTGATATTTACAGGATATCACTGCTACTAACTGAACATATATTTGTAGATTTTATTTCCGGAAAGTCTATCACCACTAAGTTCTATTTTTGTGTTTGCAATTCCTAAAAAGTTCTTTACTGCAAAAAGGCTATGTAGAGCATCCTGGCGTCGGTTGCTCTGAAAGTTGCGACTGAAAGTTTTCATTGTCCATATAGTATGCATGTTTTGAACCGTGCAATACGGAATAGTGTTTGAATCTGAACGAATTTGTTGCTCAGATTGCTTTATCGTTCAATAGCTTTCTTCCATAATTTAATAAATAGCGAAAATAATTAATAATGATGAAAGAATGTATTCAGTGAAAGCATAGAATAATTAGTGGCTTAGGATTGTGGCTGCAGTTAGGTTTCTTGAACAATTTGATTGAGTTGTGTGTATGATGCTGCCACAAAGCCATTCAACTCAACGCATTGCATTTCCTAACTTTTCTGATATCCTTTTTTCTCGTTTTCCAGATGCTTAAGAGACGTTACCTGGAGTATCATTATTCCCTTCAACAAAATTCAGATCATACAGTCAAAGTTCACATGCCGGCTACAATAACTGTTCCATTGATTTTGACATCATCCTGTATTCCTATGCTGATCACCTATCCAGCCAACCTACTTAGAACTCGTTTTCAGGCATCACCATCTCCATGCGGTGCTCCTATTGTACAATCACTTCGATGTATCGTAAGGAAGAATGGATTTAAAGGATTATATCGTGGAATGAGTGCTAGTTTGTCAAAAACCTTGCCATCTGTTTGCGTTACATATCTTGTTTTTGAATTTACCTCCGAATTACTAGGTGTTCCTGGTCTTGGTTGCAAATGAGAAAAATAATTGCTCAGATTTGGTGTATCAATCTACCCAGTCAACATTTTGTGTATTCATAAGTTTCATATTTTTTTGGAAAGTACAGACAGTTGCATTTGGTTTTTCCATTTACTTAGAAAATTAAAACATGGAATCGAGTCATCTTTATTTAACAATGTTGGCGATGATGACATGTTGATATGTCTTTCAGAGAACTCAAATTTATTTTCATTAAAAATGTAGAGAAGATTTTTATACTTTAGTTATAATCTCCATAGTAAATTAGTTGAGAAGTAATCGTGTTTTGTTTAACCTTCTTTTCCACTTTGAACTTTTATCTGGTTTTATATCTCAACAACTCATTCCCAATATTAGTACTACTGTTATTTCTATGCAGTTGTACAACGTTAACAATTGTCTGCATCATTCATCTACACATTGTGTCATCGTCGTTTATTCTATCGACTTCTTCCTCTCTATGAATATCTTCCTACAATTTTAGTTATTATCAAATTTTGTATAGACAAGTAGCCAGTATTTGTGTTTCATATTTTGCAGTTTTGTATAAGATGGAGGAAATTCTGTCAAGAGTTATCTATAGTTATGAAACTGACAGTCATATTGTTATTTGAGCAATTTGTAATTGTCACTCGTAATTACAATCCTAGCAAGTGGAAAATGATTCACCTTTATCCTAATGCTTCTCGTCAGCTAAAAACAGCAAAAGTTTATGTTGAATTTCTGGAACCAGGGAGTGAATTTTTGGGTTAAGAAGCACTAAACAGAAAAATTTAAGTTTCATAACGAAGTGATAGGATGAGTACTGATATTAGCATCATAATTGACAAGATAGGCAAACTGTTCGTTCACTAGCAATTATTGAGAATAAGAGTTAAAGGTTCCCAGAAGGTGGTGTAGGATAGGCTTCACAGTATATCAAATCCTTGGTCTTATTGCATTGTAGTTGTACAACTTGTCGCTGAAGAGATTTCAGCGCGGAAACCAGAAGCACAACTAACACTCACTGACTTGTAGCAGGAGAGGTATTTATCTACCCATCAGATATGTCATGCAGCATTTCATTCTCTCTTACTTTATGGCTGTGGGGTATATCAACAAAACAATAAGAAGACGTAATTTATTAGAAACGCGTAATTTATTTGCGCAACACATTTCCGATATTCTTATCACACGCATTTGTCATACATATTTATACAAAATTATGAAGGGTCAGAATCGAATCAACATAGGTCAAAATATTTAGGAGCCAAGATCACAGATAAGGGCTAGGAAAATGACGTAAGAACAAAGTGGGGATGGAAATATTACTAAGTGAAATGAATCGTGGTTCTAAAATCGGTTTGCTAAGACAATAAGTAATAGATAAAAGCCATTTCATCGCTAAGGCCTCAACGAATATACCATCTCTTTTATTCTCAACTAATCCTTATTTGTGATTCCTGTACTGATACGATTCTGACCCTTTATAATCTGTTAGCTTTTGTATGAATGCATGTGATAAGAATGTCGGAAATGTGTTGCGCAAATACATTACATGCTTATAATAAATTACGTCTTATTCTTATTTTGTCCAAATTCATAAAGGGAACTAACTGCTTTTAGTTTCTGTTAGACAATACTTCCGAAGGCTGAAGGTATGAAAACGGTAAGCGTTTCTGAATACAGGTGCCTTCGTCCAACTGCTTGAGTTAGATAGAGGAATATGTAGAGCATTAGTGTAGTTAAGCGTATAGTGATAAGTAAAGAGGGAGGTCAACCGATGAGGTTTAAACGACTTTATCACTATTTAGTTAAATCTTAGACATTATGTCCAACTGAATTTTCTATGCTACATAGTAGAACAAAATGTATAAATAACTACGATTGAGGATGAAATCGCTGAAGATATATCTTCTGCTGAAACCTTTTAATTTTTTCTCACTAGTCTCTCATTCGTCGTTCATAATATTGACATCAGCGTTTGTCTGTTTACTTTGCCATAGAACTAAAGATTTCTACGCAGTTTTTCTTCACCTAAAAATATTTGTTTCAGCTTCATGGACCTTATGTGTAACTGATACCTTAATATCTTATGAGGATAATGAAAGGAATATCTGTGAATGCTTTCAACGTTTCAGTGTCGTATTGCTCATTCCTGTTGTTTATGTTTGATGTGGATTTTTATTCATTCTAAGTAGGGTTACTTAAAATGTGTACCTCTCTCCAAAGTTTTCAGTTGATGCATCTGTTTCTTAGTGTAGATGTCATTTACAAATTATTAAAGTAAATCATGAAATTTCAGTGGTGATAGTAGGATATGTATTTATCTTCCTGCAACAAGTATAGTCCTAAAAAATTTCCTCAATTGTTTTATCAGTCTAGTTGTGGTTTAGTTTTTCACATTTTTTATCATCGACTTTCATCTACAGACTATACTGCTGAGACGGTTTCAGCAATTAGATTTATTACTATTGTTTCTTTGCCTTCCGAGTAGCACACAGGGTTTTTTCAGCACGCATTCAATGCAGTCGGTTCTCTGTTATCATTTACAGATGGTTCCACAACTGCCCACACGCTCTCATTTCCTCTTCACATGATCGCTTCCATGTCACCTTCAGACACCCAACCCATCGCTCCCCATTTGGATTCTATTCGAGGACCTAGTGGTGATGTCCCTTAGATTTTTCCTCGCCCTATATCCAGTTCGTCTTTGTTTTTTTCGCCTAGGTGGTTTTACTATGCATACGGACCTCTCATCACTTTACATAACTGAAGACTACTACAGATCAAAGTTTACAATTTTCCTATTATTTACTTACGCTTTCCGAATACTGCAAACTGACCCAGAGATTTCACAGGGCACGGAAATGAAATTAAAAGCTTCAGTCTTATACCTTCTGAAATGTTTGGCTAACTTTTCTGTGCACGTTACAGCATGAGATTAGCGCCCTTTAATGACAGAATGTCACACAGATTTCAACAGGGAGCATAATAAAAATCAAACTTCTGGAAGTTCGACATCTAAGGTAGACGTCGTGTCTCACAATGCGATTTCTCGTATATCATGATTAACACGATTTTATCTAACGCTAGTAGTTTGCTAAACAGATCAAAATTTTATCGGTTACTCTTCAAAAACCTATTTTTACGTGCTATTATCTTTTGGTTTTTCTACCAAACTGTCAAACAATATTCCATGTTAACCTAGCCTAATGTACTAGCCAGTCCTAGGCCCGGGAAAGGGGAAGGTTGGATGTGGTACCAGCAACCTCATCCAGTAAAATAAGCAGTCTCTACTGAAACTTCGAAAGCACAGAAACACTTACTCCCACCTGGAGTCGGGATGACTCTTCATTTTAGTTTGGGTGGTGTCGGTGGGTGAAATCCTTCAGGAAGCCAGTCGGCTGATTTGTTTCCTTTCATTGAATGTCAGCATGATGCTGGGGTCAGGCAAGAATGCTCACATTGCGGAAGAACTGATGAGGCGTGACGTAAAAGTGTTAAGAATTCGTGAGAGCAGATGAATCTCCAAATATGCTTAGATGAATCTACTACTGGCTTCTTGTTTAGGTTATTAGCGGCTTTCGAATCATTATAAGAATCCTAGGTGGTTCAGAAATTGGAAATTATAACTTATTTTAAAAAATCACATTATGTCATACTGATCAGAATACTTGCACACGACGCAGCTTCCCCTTTATTCAGGCTTATCCTGAAAAAAACCCATCTAAGCTTGACTTAATGTGAGAGACAGTTTAGCACAAACTTGTAGACTAACGCGATCTTGACTGGTATTCTGGAACCATCTCAATCTACCTTGGGGTGAAATTCAGAAAAAACTTTAATCTAGCTTCTCATATGATAACAGCATCATATGTTTTGATGATGTATCTGAGTTTATACTTGATTATCTAATGACATCTTAACTGAACACGTGTGACCAGTTGGAGGAAGTGATTCGGAATACAATACGGTTGCAACTAATTCGGCATAGAATTGTATCACAAAACTAAAAAAATTTGTTATGAGTAAAAGTTAGAAATTTGAAAAAGTGTTATAGCATCTAAATGAATTTTTTAACACTGAATCGACTACACAATAAGATGCCAATTCATCGGAATGATAGGCTTTGCTATGTTTATTCAGTAATGCAACGACAAGGTCTTTATTATTTCAAGTAGTTAATTATTTTAAGAACTCATTCTATTCTAGAAGCCTGGGTAAGACCAAGACCAGTCACTGCCATAGTGTGCTAGCTGTCTTTGATCATAGGTGCCTGCGTTCTGTCTCCCGTGTGAAATGGTATAATAGGGTGAGCAATATTGAGGTAATGCTTCGGTCGAGTGCTATGTAAAGAGGGGAAATCGATAGATGAGGTTGTGAAGTTACATCTACGTGAGATGGTTAGGACATGTGTTACGCATGCCTAGCCATCGCTTTCCTCAACGGGTAATGTTAGCTGACATATGGTCAGTTTGAAAAAGAGCCAGTGGTGGTCAAACCAAGATATGGCACCAGTCAATGAAATCCACAACAGTTAGTTTAAGCCACGTAGGAAGGTGTAAACTTCTTCGTTGGGTCCTCCGGACGGTAAAAACCAATGGCTGGAGACAATCGGTGATACGGCTCGAAATCTTCCTCCATGGCTGGTGCAAATGCATCTACTCCTTGTGACTTGTAATTACAAATAAAACTATATTGTTCCTCGATATTATTATTCTATTAGTCTCGTATTACTGTTTACTGTCTCTATTTTGGGTTTCTTTTTACTTCTCTTGCTTTGTGTGCTGGGTGAAGTCTGGAGACTCAAACTGCTGCATATCGGTGCAAAGTTCGATGTTGAAACCAGTCAGTCAGATTCATATTCTTTAAATGAACACACAAGTAACCATAGACATATAGGATGTCTCCACGATGTCTGAGGCAATGTTTGAAAAAGAAACAAGATGATATAGTATAGGAGTACTGGGAGTATGTGAGAGCAGTTGGAATGGAAGTGAATAATTCAAATTTCGAAA